CGAGCGGCCGCCGCAACCTTCCCTGCCCGAGGGCAGCCGGGGAAGGCGGCTTCCCTAAAACCCTGCGTCCTCCCTCTTTGTTTTCCCCTTCTACCTTCGGAATGGAGTGGAGCATGAAATTAATCTGTACTTGCTGCCTGGGCAGTCTCAGTCGTAAATAAGAGATGTGTGTTGATGGACGTGAGGGGGTTTTGTGTGTGTGTGGTTTCATGTTCTGTGTCTTCAGAGAAACCTGTGTCGGGGGTCTCGGTGCTTTTTACACCTGTGGGTTTCTTGTCAGGTTTGAGGAGTACACGAATACTAAGGTACTCTTCTAAACAGCCAACAGAGTAATAACGATTTAGCTTCTGAATATTTAATTGTTCCTCATCTGATTCATGCTTTACTACCTGTGACGCTCCCGTGAGCCAGTTTTCCCAAGGCTGTGCCAGTGCTGCTCCATGGCCAGATTCCTTCGCCATGAATGAAACAGGCAGTGTTTCGGGAAGTTAAATCCTGAAGTCTGTCCTGAAGCCTTATCTGACTGGACAGATCCCTCTGCCTGTTTAACTTCGGTAAAGCCCATTAATGTCCTGTACTCAGGTGATAATTTGCAGGTATGAAGCACCCTGGGAAGTTGCCATAAATAGAATTTAGCAAGGTGAGTTGATATATTAGAACAGAATCACCTGTGCAGTTCTGATGCTCTGTCATTATTGTGTTGCCTGAAATAATGTGCTGTAACTTTGAACAACTGTAAAAGATAATAAAATAAGCATTTTGGTACTCATATGAAGAAGACAGCTCGACACAAGGATTTGTCTTTTTCCATGTTGTATATTATCATGATGACAATTTCAGAAGTCACCTTTTCAAAAATAACCTTTGTAACTTGCGTACTTTCTGTTGACATTTTTCTGCACAGAGCTGTCTGGAAAGAGAATTCAGGCCATATTGGAGCTGTTGTGCTATGCTTCATACTTTTCAACTGTTCACCTGTGTTGTGGAGAAAAATACCTCCCAGACTTTTATGGAGCCATAATTTTGTGTCAGTTTCACACACAATGGGTCCTTTGCTCCAAAAACTCCTTACTTAAAAAAACAGTGAATCTGTGAAACTGACTGAACAGTGCATGTTTAAGTTAATTTATTTAAACAGCTTCGATATGCTAAATGGAGTGTAACAGTTTGTGTAAAGTAGGCTTTTGCTGGGAGGAGGGAGTCTTGAGCTGCTTTTAGAAATAGCAGCTGGAAGTTATTTAAAGCATACTTGCCTTTTTTTTTTTTCTTCAGCTGTAGGTATGTAGAAACATTTTTATAGGAATTCTTTTTATTTTGTAGGGTTGATCCATATGGGTTTGAGAGGCCAGAAGACTTTGATTATGCATCCTATGAAGCATTCTTTTCCAGATACCTAGTGGTACTCACTAGAAGAGCAATAAAATGGTCCAAGCTCCTAAAGGGGAATAACAGTATACAGAAGAGTTTAAAAGGTGAGCTTCATGTCTCTTTATAAATAAAAGGGCATTATGTTAGGATTCAACAGGTTTGTATTTTTAAGTGTTGAATACTATTTCTGTCTTCAAATTAAAACCAGTAGTATAAACAGTTATAATTCATAAGCAAGTTAGAGGGATTTCATTTAAACCTTCCAAAAGAGTAATCCCTCTTCAGCACAGGAATATCTTGTTACATCTGTAACTCAGCTATTGTGGCCACTGGCACTCCAAGATGCCATTTTGCAGCTGTTGGCTGCATTGTACTCTGTGCTCTCTTTAAAAAGACATGGGATTATGAAGATCCTGTAGAAGATGCTGTCTTGAACCCCAGGGATCAGGATGTTGGGGCTCTCAGTTGCTGCCTCTTTAACAGTTCTTTAGGCTGCTGAGGTTTTCTAGATCTCCTTATCCTCCTTTTGTAAAATGACATGTACCATGCAGCTGAAAAGCTGTGTACTAAGAACTGATGATAGATGCCTTTAGAAGTGAAGAAAGCAAGCTTAATGCAGGGGCGAATGCAACACTGGATGAAATGCTGATGGAAATGTTAATGTCTGCCTCAAAGAGCATGAAAACCTCTACTAATGTTTTATCTTGCAAGAGATACAGGTAGAAATAGATGCAGAGAGTCAGAAGGTGTTAGGGAATTCTGTGAAACTAAAGAATGGAGTTTCCTCCCACTCTCTTTTTGGGTTATGTTTTCATATAAGCATCTAAATTTTCCTTTTGCTGTAAACGGTGCTTATCAGGTTGCTTTCTCTTTGGGTGTCTTTTGGAGTTGGGTTGAGTTCTCTGAAGAATCTTAAGGAAAAATTGGGTAAAATTTAGAGCTGTGCTGCAGGTGCAGCCTTTGGCTGGTGATTCTGGTGGTTTGGGTTTGTTTTTTTTCCTTGGCACCAGAAATGGGAGGATAACTAGTGAGACATTTTAAGTCTAACAGTGTATTTTTTGTACAGATGTCTGTTTTACGGGTGAGAAATTCCAGAAAATGTAGGTTTGAGCTATAACTGCTAGATCATATGCTGCTAACCAGAAAGTATCTACTTCTACTACATTATTTTTTTCTTAGAAATATAAAGATGTTTTTGTTTGGGGTGTCAAGTTTGAATGTAGAGAGAACGTCATGCCATTTTAAATTAGTGAGGATTTTGAAATTTTGCAGAATTTTGTCTTCTAGTTGGGGAAGAATACTCTCAGTTTTGATTCATATCCTTCTCTTAATGTGTGAGTAGTAACAGTGGCAGCTTTTAGCAATTTCTGTGAGTTCATTTAATTTCTCTTTGTGTCTCCAGTTCTAGCATTTTAGAAGCAGTATGTTATGGTGATACTAACTGGGAACGCCTTTGGTCTTATTTTGGAGCCAAAACTTTGACCATATCTCTCAACTTGTCCACCAGGCTTCAGAACCAATGGTCATGTTGCCCCACTGGGCACACAAAGGCAGCAGGTTGCTAAAGATCCTAGGCTATGGATTCTCACATATACATGTAATTCCAGGGAGAGTGGCAGGAAAAAGTAATACTGAGAAAATGTCTGAGTGTAGATTCAGAGTTGTTACAAAAAGCTCCCTGCATTAGCCTCATCTGGTACCTCAGAGGAGGAGAGGGAAAGCTTAACCTCTGCAATGACTGATTTTTAAATACTGTCCTTCTCATTTCGGTACTAAGATTGAATTCTGTGACATGCACATGGAATTGTGTACGCAGGTGTGTGCTTTATCCTGCAAGATGATTATGCAGTGATTTCCTTGCCGGCAAATAGCAGATGCTCTGCTGGTTATTCACTGAGTTTCCCTCCTCCAGGACCTGACTTCATTGCTATGAAGCTTTGCTCAGAACTGCTGGCTCTGCCATAAGCTAGAACTGAGAAGAATATTTGATTTGCCACTTCCCTCCCCAAACACAGTAGCTGTGAACCAAACCCATGCTGTGTGTCCTGCTGTGAGTAGGTGTGAGAGGCAGTGTATGTGTGGTATCTCAGTAGTTCCACACCCATTTGTCTGCACACAGAGAAGCTCATAATTTCTGCCCAGGCCAACAGGAAGAAGTGATGATTTGTGTTAATTTTCCAGTCTGGAAATGTGGTCTGTTCACATGCTGCTGGGTTTGCCTCATATTCAAGGTGGTTTGTATGTGTATAATTCTGTTCCACTATAAAGAAAAAGAATTAGACTACGTTTTAACAATGGTAATTAAGCAGTGCGTTCTGTTGTTCTGTGTTGCAGCCTGCTGGTAGGGTGGGTCATGGGAATTTGGCTGACAGTTCCTTTCACTCATTCTCCAGTCTCTTCCTTTTTATTATTTTTCTGGTATTTTGTTGTGTCCGCCCCCTCCCATCTTCACCTTGTTTCCACTGCACATGAGAGGTTATAATCATTGTTTGTCACTTTCCTTCTTTCTGTCTCTCTCTCCCTCTGCCACTACTGAGATGCTCCAATTTTTTTTCCTCATTTCATTCAACTCTATGGGACTGCTTTCTGCTCTGTTTACAGGTGGGAAACAAACTGTCTCACATAATTGCTTAAACTATTCTAATTCTGACCAAAATCATGCTACACAAAGCAATTTGTCTGTTGGGTGTCCTAGTCAAAAGTGACCAGTAGCAGAAGATAGTACATTTATTTTTCCCTTTCACTGTATTTTATCAAAGATCAGAAACTAAGTGCTCATGTTACAACCATTGTTTCTGTTCCAGGGCTTGGTGGAAGAAAGTCAGTTTGACTGGAACTTTATTACAGCACTTATGTGCTTTGGTTTTTTCTGTTATGTATTCATGAAATAAAGCTTTCAGTCCCTTGTGTGCTGTTTCCAGCTTTTCCACAGAATTCTTCTTGTAAGCACAAGTGTATTTCCTCAACATTCAACTATAATTGTTAGTACCTGAAAAAGTAGATGTGCAGATGCTTCTCAAAAAATATTTTTAAGATGAGATAATTTTTGGTTTTAAATGTTTACGGTTTTTTTCTACATAAACTGGAGTCTATGCTGTAGAGTGAAACAATGTTAGTAGGGAAAAAAGGCAATGCAACATTTGCCTTGAAGCAGAAGTCTCCAAAATTTTCATATTCTACCATCAAACAAGGACAGACAGGTTGAAATTACTTATTTTTACCTCTTGTTACTGTAAGTAGTGTATAGTATTAGAGAAATGTTATTTTCTGCATATTTTTCTCTTGAAAGGTACTTTAGGTGCTTAGCACTTTTAGACTGCTGCCCTATCAGATAGCTGTTTTTTCTTGTAAAAAGGAAACCACATTCATAAAGTGTGACTCTAAACTTGTGAAACTGGCACTAAGTGTCAGAGGCAATTGAATTATGAAGGGGGGGGAGAGTTTACCCCCACTAAAAACTGGTGTTTCATATTTTGTTAATGAACAGAGGCCAAAATTTTGCCTAAAGATATTTCTTACCTGTGTATGGTCTAGAATTTAGACCACCTACTATGTCCTAGGAGTGATTCTGTGTGCAGGGCTTGGGAGTATTCAATAGTGCTGCTTCTGAGATCAAGCCCTTGGTTAGTAACTGGTATTGCATGTATGGGTGGAGATCCGTGTACAATCTGACTTCATCTGGGAAAGTTTTCAGATGTTACAGTGGGAGAGTATTCTGCAATGTGAACTGCTCTTGTGGGCTTCTTAGTTCCCAAGGATAATGTGATAGAGAGCTTATATATATATATTTGTATAAACACAACTCTATTTATAGAATATGATATATCTATGTCTGTCTACACATATAAATGATATCTATTAAACTGCAGCTGTCCTCCTTTTCAGAACTATTTTGCTGCTTCTGAATGCCACTTTGCAGATCCTAGCAAGTATTATAATGGTGTATGGGAAAAAAAGCCCACTGTGAAGGGCTTTGCATTCCTCAGGGAGTGAGGGAGCTGGGTCAGTAGTCACTTGGGGTGGTACAAGCCCCTGGCTGTCTGCTGCCACGAGAATGATAACACTGAGGAATAATGAGTGTGTGCTGTGCTGCAGGCTGCTTTCCCCTTGTGCCACTGTCAAGGGCTTGTCCATGTGTATTGTTGGATATCAATGTTGGCTATGCTTCCAGAAGTTACAGTTGTTCCAGAAAAAAATGCCACTGGGATTATGTGCCTAAAATGCTATAGCCCAGTATTTAAGGCAGTAAGTTTGTTTCTAGGCTCATCTGAATGTCTCTTGTTAACCTAAATGGAACTAGTTCTTTATAGTCATTCCTGTATTTGCTATGTTGATTTTTAGGATTCCTTGAGCATTACAGTTCAAAATCTTGTAAAAGAGATGAAGTGGGGATTATTAAACCACCATGGAAACAAGTGAATTATTTCCAGCCTAAAAGAAGGTTGTAGTTAAGGTAACTCTACAGCTAGAACTGTAGAGTCTGTAACACGTAATATAAATCCTCATTAAAAGCTAAACAAAAAGTGTACCCTGCAGACCAGGCATTTATTACCAATATGTTTCTTTGAGAGAAACCACCAGATTTTAGGTGGGTGAAATGCTCATTATATGTGCATCTTTATGTTGGTGACATGGGGGAAGCAGCTTTGGGTCCTAAAGGATAGGCAGCTGTAATTAGCTGGAATGTATTTGGAAGGTGTCTGGCTGAGTTGTACAACCTTGCTTCACTCTGCTGTTTTTAAGGCCTTTAATTTAGGCAGCATTTATTACAGAACTGTGTGATTCAATAAAACCTGGCTAGGTAGTGATATTGTGTGTGATAATGTGTGGGTGGAATAAAAATCCCCACTTGGATTTGAGTCCCATAAAATTTAGAGAGGAGAAGTTGATGCTTTTATTGATACAACATGATTCATTTAGTACAAAATGTCTGTTTCATTTGTTATTTTCTTCTCTGAGAAAAAAGGAGAAGAATCTCAAACATTCAGCTCTCATTTTGGGTCAGAAAAGGTAAAGCTGATTTAGGATTATGTACCCATAAGCAGCATTGACTCCTTATTAATGTTTTTCATACCATTCCCAGGAGGAGGCTGCTTTTGTTGCCATTAGCCTGATGCTTCTTCCTGTAATTTTGCATCATAGTTATTTACACTGAATCATCTGCTTTAAAAAAAACCCTGAAGCACACCCTTATGATGAAAATGATGCAGGAGATAAGAGCTACTTTAGATTTGAAAAGACTTCCACAGTTATTCTAGGAAAAAGTCAGCTGCTGCTCACTCACATCACTCCAGTTTTTCCAGGGCTCATTTAGACCGGAGGCACATATTCCAAATCCTCAGTTTCTGCAGTACTTCTGTGGTCAGGTGCTGATGTGAAGCCTTAGAGTTATGGTAACATGGCCATTGATGTTACAGCTAAATGGGCAGAGCCATGGTTTCAGAGGCCACTGATGATGTGGGAAAAGTCAAGTCAGTGCTTGTCTGAATGAAAAAGGACAAAGATCAAGGGGAAAGCTTTGCTATTTGTATCTCCATCTGGAAAAGCAGTAGAAGAGGAAAAGATTCAAAATTCGCACAAGGGAAGAGAGGAGGGAGGAAAACCTGAGTCTGAAGATCTGGGGGGAGAGTCTGAGTGACAAGAACTTAGGAGTGAATCTAAAATATACTATGCAGCTGAGAAGTAAATGCTTATCCTAAAATGGTAGCATAGGAGAGAAAATATAATAATATCCAGTCAAGAGTTTTCCTCTGACTTCTTAAATTCAGGCTGTTCATTTAAAAAAAACAATTATACAGTTGGATATTTTTTTATTTCTTTAAAAATGAACAAACAAAACCAAACTTCTTGTCTTGCAGTGAAGAGATATATCAGGAAAGGCATCCCCAATGAACACCGTGCATTGGTCTGGATGATTGTGAGTGGGGCCCAAACCAACATGGAACAAAACCCTGGGTATTACCACAGACTGCTTGAAGGAGAGAAGAATGCCAAGCTGCTTGAAGCAATCAAAACAGGTTATTCTCTTGATAATGCTGTTTATCTGTATTTATCCATCCTATGGCCTTAAGTGTTGGAGATCAAGTTGTGTCATGGAAAACTTAATGTTTCTGTAGTAGTGGTTTAAGTGCTGAATTAACACTTACATTAGATTAGCCATAAGCTCTTTAACAGAACAGATCTTTCCAGGTTCACCATGTGGTTAAAAGCATTAAGGAATGCTTTTAAGGGAGATTAGAAATTATTTGAGAAGAAATAAACTAGAAAACATTGCAGTGTCATTTAAGTGATTGAAGAGTTGTAACTTTGAGCCGTGACATCTGCCTTTGAGTCTGTTTCTCCTTAATTCTGTCCCATAGGACACTGGAGCAGGGATGGTTGAAGGTGTGGCACAGAGGCCCATATGAGGCAGGTGAAGTATGCTTGGATTTCAGGTTGAGTAAGAAGACAGCTAAGACAAAGCTGCTGATAGATTTATATGAATTATAAATGGTGCAAAGAGGGTGAATAAAGAGCAATTGTTATTTGGTTTTTGTAAAATAAGAACCAAGGACACTGAATGAAATTTGTTGTGCTGCAGGTTTAGAAGAGTTGTGGCACTTGTTACTGTGCTGTGGAGGCTAGAAGTATGAACTGGTTTGAAAAGGAATTTGATAAACTGACAGGTGGGGGAATCCACTTGATGCATGACATATTAAACACTAAATGTAAATCCCTGGGAGAATGTAGAAGGTGAAACACCCCTCCTCTACTAATCTGTTTTCATGTATGCTTTCTGTGAACATTGATCAATGGCCAGTACTGATGGCAGGGTATAAGGGCACCCAGACCTTAGGCTGGCCCACTGGGAGGAAAAAGGCAGTAGGTGAGGACAAACAAGTAGGAGTTTGATGTAAGTGATACTTGTCCTGAAACCTGCTACAGCAGAGCCTTTGTGGCCAAGCTGATATTGCCTGAATTGTCCAATTAAAAAGTCAAGAGGCTGGGCTCTGCTCCAGAACAATGCTGAAGTTGTTTGGTTAGAAAGGCAGGTTGTCTTCCTCTTGCAAAAACCCAGGTACTTAAAGTTTGGGTCTTGTGGATTTTTTCAAGTTGGATAAGCATCCAAAACCTTGTGGTTTGTGCAGAGTTTCTTCTCTGCCTTTCCCCGCAACAGCAGTACTTTGGGCTTTTGGGACTACACGCCTTAGTAAGGTATTTTGGAGCATAAATTTCATGTTCCTATGAATATGGAGACTAGCCAGAAATCTGCAGGCTTATATCCTGCTCAGAACTAGAAACAGTAGAGCTCTTACTATGAATAAAGAGGGAGCTAGTAAGATGACTTTCTAAAGCCCACCTTGGTAAGGGTCTGGAGAAGCATCAGACTATTCAATTGGGGTAAAAGTGCTGCAAGAGAGAGTTGAAAACAACTTTTCTCCAGTACTGGACAACGACAGGAAGGGTCTGTAGGTGGCTTTCCCCACAAGTTAAAATGAAATAAAAATATTTTTGTGGGGGAGGAAAAATACTGGGAGAGGATAAAGATCTGTTTGTGAACTGTGGAGGAAATAAAGTTTCGGCAGAGCTACTGCATTGATTGGAAAACTGCAGAAGAAAAAATTAATGTGGAGCAAGTGAAGGAAAAGATAAAGAAAAATGGCCTGGAAGACTTTATTGGAGGGGAAAAAATATAATAAAGACCTCAGGCACTCTCCTTCAGAAAGGAAGAACCAGTGTGGACATAGGAGGGATGAAAGGAACAAAGTACTTAAGGTGAATGTGAATTTTGTGGTTAGTGTGTTTAATGAACTTATACTCCTGTTGACTGTGCACATTTTATAGTGGGCTTTGACTGAGGACTCTTTCAGTGTGAATTGTTGCCTGACTTTGATTTTCTTTCTTCAAGTGTTGTTCTCCCATTACTGTAGTTGCTTTTAATAATAAAGCAAGGTAAGATGTGGCATTGTACTGCTGTTTGCTTTCATATTTGCAGTTTCCAGGATTTTCAGGCAACAGTGTGGTATTTATTCCCATAGCTGTGAAATTACAGCCCAGCACAGTGCTGGGGTTTATAAACAAGAGAACAGCAATCACACTTTTTCTTTTTTCCTGGGGGAGGGGCAGGTGGACAAAGCCAACCAAAGACTTTATTTCAAATTCAATTTAAAAATGTATAAGAGCCAATGTGTCCTCTCTCTTCCCCATACCCAGAAGCTGCAAACAATTTTAATGTATGTTTGAAACTAGTTTTCATATGGGAAAGTCTTTGATGTGGTATAATCAAGTTAAAAAGGGCAGGTAGGCTGTGTGAAGAAATGGTCTAATCTTTTACTAATCAGATTTTTCTTTATAGCAACGGAAGTCTTTCAGCTAATTAAATCTGTAATCTGTTCTTTCACCAGTTTTGCCCTTTAACTTCCTGATTCTGATCTGATGAGCTTTGTTGCTACTTTGTTTTATATGGTAATTGCTCTTTGAACATTTTTGTTTATTAAGAAAAATGTAGGAGGGAACAAGCTTCTTACTCTAACCATTAAGAAAGAGCTAAAATAATGCAGGTGTCTAAATTTTAATGTCTTAGTTTATGTACACATTTAGAAGGGCATGCATTCCAGCAACACTTTGTTTTACATGCCCTATTCTATGAAAACTTAGTAGGACAAATGATATTGTAAGATAGACGTGGCTGTCCTTCCAATGGAGAGGCGACATGCTGGGTGCAGAAAGACTGGATTGTAAGTTGCAGCTTCCTTGGGGGAAGCTTCCTTTAGGCTGGGCTGTTCTGAATTTTAGCTCTTGTATCTCATCCTTTCTCTCCACTGAAAAACATGCTATTGGACAGAAGTGTGTCTGTGTCTGCAAGTGTTCAGGCATGTACATGCAGCTAATCTGTGTTTCCATTCTTTCATTTAATGAGGAGGAATTGTAGGTGCTGTGAAGCCTACAATGTTATACTTACCAGTCAGTCCCAGAGTTTGAGCTGTGCTGACAGTATTTCAAACAATGGTCATTGCCATTTCACTGGAGACAGGGAATATTTTACTATCAAAGCACTAAGAAGCTTTCTCTGAAGCATCTCTGAAATTGTGAGCGGAAGTTGGGAATTTTCAGGTGAGTTTAAAGCATGTAGCCATGCAAGAGGAAGGGGAAGAGCCTTGTCAGCTCTTGTGGCTCTCTGTTAGAGGAGCCCTGACAGGTTGTATCCAAACAGCTGCCTTGTAGTCTTTGGTCTACTAGAACAGCTGAAGGAAGAACTGGAGGAGTAAAGTGTGTAGTGACACTTCCTCAGAATGTTTTTCCTAGTCTCCAATTGTCTGCTATTTTGAGAGTTGCCAAGACATGCTACATGTTTGTACCTAATAATGCTGGATGGGAAAAAATTTAAAAAATTTGCACATAATTTTGCAGATTTGTGCAGTCTCAATGCTGCTAATCATCTCCCTCTAAACTAAGTAGCTTTTATCCACCTGGGTTCATGCTATATAAGGTAGCCATTTTGTATCTGTGGTTTTCCTTGTTGCCATTATTTCTGTAATTTCTCTAATTCTGGTATTATCTTTTGGAGATGAAGGGGCTGGAATTTATGCATGTGCTTCTCAGATTTATACAGTGGTAAATTTCTTCCTTTGTAGGAAATCCTAACCCCGTTGGCTTTCTTGATTGCTAAAAGCTCTTGAACTGTTGCTTGGTAGTGGGGTTGTGAGGGTCAGCTTTTCTGACTTTAGTTAATGAAAAACTTGGCCTTAACTTAAAACAAACAAACCCCCCAAGCCTCCAAAACAATTTATAGTTCCAGGTATGGCAGAAAAAAGCTTGAGGATGACTGCTAAACACCCAGTTATAACAAATATAAAACACCCTTTAAGTATACTGTTTTTACAAGTTGCAGTTTATGGCCTAACCTCATTATTTGCAATGGAGTTTTTGAGTGCTTGTAGTTGACAATTGAATTTTTGCTCTGCTCTCTACTACGTAAAAAAAAGAAAAGATCACCTGCCTGGAAGCTCTTCAGAGCAGATGTGCATTGCAGATGTAGCAGTGGCAAAAAATGAACTTAAGTGGAGTAGGATATGTTAGTTATAAAAATACTTGTGTAATTTACTGACCACCTGTGTCTTGGAATGGGAAGTACCCAGGATATGAAAGTAAAGGTGCCATGGTTTCGGAAATGAATTCTTCAATTTAGCACTCCCACTAAGCGCATGTGCCATTTCCTCCCCCCGCCTCCAGCTGGAGGGACAAAATGCAAAGATCATGGGCTGGGATAAGAACAATTTACTGGAAACAGCAATGAGATAAGAAAATGAACAGTAACAGCAACAATATTAATAACAAAAGGTATATAAATCAATTCACACAGAAAGAAAACAAAGGATAATAGACAATGCCAGGTGACTCCCTCTGCAACTTTCTCAACTGTATGGAACCCCTTCTCCCTGGAAGACAGTCCCTTTGCCAGGCCCCTGGCGTTGTTCAGGTGGCACAGAACAACCTCCAGGCCCTGTCCTCCCAACTACTGCAGAAATTGACTCTGTCCTGGCTGGGATCAGGACAAAAACGAAGGATGAGATAGCAGTGTGAAGGTTGTCTTGTAGATGCATGACTTCTGAAGTACCCTAAGTAGGAAAAGCATGAGACTTTCTAAAAGCATTATTGTTCTGGACTGTGCTTTCAAATCTCTCTGCTCCAGAAATAGCATCAATGACTGTGGTTCTTGGTACCAAAATAGACATCTATTTTATAAACTGAGGCTAATGTATTCTGCCTGTTTGTGTTGCTGAATGAGGTTGAAATACTGCAGACTCATGAGAGGGAAGAAAGGATCCAGTGGTCTTCTCATGGTTGCTGCACAGAGATAAATCAGCAGGAAAGCTGGTGGTTGTTTTTGTTTTATAGCAGCATAAAACGGCCAGCTCAGAGAGCAGAAAGATTGTAAACAAAATTGCTATTGGGATTTAATCTGAATTTACAACAAAAGAGTTGCTCATCTTTTCATTGTTACCTCCTTCCTGGTTCTGTGCTCCCATACCTAGTTTACTTATAAGCAGCAGATCTGCACGTGAGAAGATAGCCATAATTTTGGGATTTATGTAGCAATGTAAGATTCTAATGTTCATTTTGCTGGTTGAAAAGAACCCAGATTTTTTTTCCTAAAACTGTACTAGTTTGAGGCTGTGTTCCTTTGGACAGTAATGTCTATTAAGAGCAAAGTAAATTAATGGACAGTAGGTCAGAGGGTAGGCTGTGCAGAGCATGAGAAGGAGGTGTTTGTATGTCTCCTCTGGAACAGATGGATTAAAGTGGATGTAAGTGGTGAAGCCAAAAGAACAGTCCTTGCCTGCTCCTTCCATTTGCCTCAAGTCATCTCTGACCCTCATCTTGCACCATGGTAAAACATTGGCCTGTGTGTGCCTGTGGAGGGCTGAGTTCCTCATCTTGAGTCAGAGGAGCCTCAGAACTGGAGGGGGAGGAGGGAGATCATGCAAATGGAGCAGAAAGGGCAGGATGGAGAGGGAATGGGATCCTCTGCTCTTGTGCTCAAAGGAATAATCTGGCACACAAAGTCCTGTAAGACCATGCTCCATATCTTCTATTAAGGGTAAAGCTTTTTAGCTCTTGTATCTTGTTTTTTCTCTCCATCCCCTTACCCTAAACTAAAATATTTTTACTAAATATAGTTTTAAATCCTTCATAAAACTAGGGAAGGCTTCCCCCAGTCCTTTCCAGTGGGGAAAAACATGCTCTGCAATCAGAAAACAAGTTGCAGCTGATTCTCTCAATTGCAGGCTGTGAAATTACTGATGAGTTCAGTTTGAGTAGTCCCTGCTTTGTATGTGATGCACTTTTCTTACTCTCCCCTCACCCTTTCTCTGCATACCTGGGGAGAAGAGCCATGGCTAAAATTCAGCATTAATCTTTTCTGTAACATTCCACATCTGCTTTAATAAAGAATAAATTCTGATTATGCAAATACTATGCCACATAATCTTCCTACCTAGAAGAAACAAAAGAAATTTATTTATCCTGCAACAATCTGTTGTTCAGGTCCTCTCAAAAATTGTCTTTTTCTTCGTGTTTTTCTTCTCATACACATGAAAGGTGAAGTGAAATATTTTCCTGCAAATGATTTGTTCCCTTTAAAAGGAAGAAATAGCAATTAGTGTGATAACTTTGTCATGTGTGTGACTTCCACTACACTAATCATGATTTTGGGGAGCTTTCTTCCTTTCCTTTGGTTGCCTATAGCTGAACTTTGTGTCAAAGCTGTAACAGACTTCTTCCTTTATGCTGGAAAAGGCTGATAAAAAGTGATAATTCTTAGGACATGAAGATCTGTACAGAAGTGCTGTTACTGAAGTTTGTTTTTAACTTTAACCCAATTTGTTGTTAAATATAACCCAAACAACTACTCATATTTTATTAATAACTCTTGAGTTTTGAAAATCTGCACAGTTACTTTTAGACGGTTAAGTTGGAGAGAAAAATTCTATTTAAAGATCAAATGCACAGCTCTGTGCCAGTGACCTTGGGTTTTCCCTTTATGGAGTGAAGCAGGCAAAAAATTACCTCTCTCTGTTTTTTTCCAACAGTTAAGGACTGTTTTGGGGTGACTAGCTCAAATTTGCATGTCTAGTTTTTAGACCTTTATAAGGAGAGATGAATCCTACTATTAATATTTGGTCTGAAAGAAGTTAATGGTTGGAAATGTCAGTAATAATTACATACTCCTTACTTGATTAAGCTGGGCTTGAGGCATGTGGGAATGTGCTCTGCTGCTTGGTTATCAAAAACCACTCCCATTCTTGATGATCTTGCACCTGTGAAGACACAACTCTTCTCATGATCACATCATGGAGAAAGTTAAATTTTAAAAAGGGATTTTTAAGTGGAAGTTGGCAGTTGTGGGAACAGGTCTGGGGTTTTTTGGCTGCTGCTGTTTAGTAGAAGTTCACTGAGTAAGTCAATTGAAAGTTCATCTGATTTGTTAGGAGAATGTGCTTTCCTAGAGGCAAACTCATGTCATGCCACTTGACTTGAAGTTTGGCATGTCTTGTCAGTCTAAATACCTGATTTGCTTTCATTTAAGCCTTTGCAGACATAGAGGGAGTTCAGTCTGCAGGAGAATTTCTTTAGGTCTGCTTGAAATTGGTTTCTGTACACTAATAGGATTATTCTTTCTAGGAATAGATTACCCTTGAATGCAAGTGCCCTTTTAGCCAAAATGGAGGTAAAGCTGTTTCTTAACATTAATCCACCAAAGCACCAGTTCAATGAACTATAGTGAAGCTTCAATTGTACTTCAGAAGACCTATAAAAGTTTTTTTTGGAAACTGACAAGGAGCAGCTCTTAATTTTGGTCTTTTCCCCTTTTGTTTAGACATGAACAGAACATTTCCAGATAATGTAAAATTCCGCAAAACCGCTGATCCGTGTTTGCAACACGCACTCTACAACGTGTTGGTAGCATATGGGCATCACAATAAAGCAGTAGGATATTGTCAGGTGGGTAATCACTGTTCTGTAAACTCTGCTGCATTTCACCAGAGCTGACTGCTCTTGTCCATTTGAATGTGTGTTTTTAGAAGCATACTCACAAACTATTTCTGTTTATAAACCGGTCATGGGAGGTTTTTAGGGGAGGGGGGGCAGGGTATGAATAGGGTATGAATTCAGGCAAATTCAGATATCCTTCTGAATTTCTTGTAGCCAGCTTGATAATTCGGTTCCATTTGTTAGCTGCAACATAAGTAGTTGCTTTGGAGAGCAAGAGGGAGTGAGCTTGCCTTTGCCTCGTCCTGCCAGCTTTCCCCACACAGTCCTTGGTATCTACAGGGCATCATGAGATGTCAGTTTCCTGTGTTTTCACTGTCACATTTTTCAAAGTACAGAAAGACCAGCATTAATGTGGTATCCTGTGCTTGGGGGCTGGTAGCATTATTTAGTGCCATCTCCCAATATAGGTAACACAAGTAGGAAGAAAGTTTCTTTGAAATTCAACCTGATATTGCTTTGATGGCAGCTCAAGAAAGCTTCTGTTGTCACTGTCAAGTACTGTAAAGTTTCCTGTGGGACACAAAGAACATAAGACACATAAGAACATAACACAAACATGCAGCATAAGTTGATTCATGATAGTCTGACAGTCAAGAAAAAAAAGTGTCTGTCTTTAAGGATCTTACAGAAGCAGGCACTGTTATCAGCAAAATGTGCTTTCAGTTCACTTATTAAGTTCTCTCCCGTCTCCCTCGGTTCCTGAGCAAGAATGTGTGTGCTAACACATAGCTCATTTTAGCTGAGAAAGTTATGTAGTAAATACAACTACTCCAAAGTTGAAAGAATATGAGCAGTATTTTTTAAATCTTGAGAGGAGAAGACTTAGAGGGACTTAAATGTGCATTGAGGTCTCTGACAAAAAATTTTTTTTCTTGTGTACCCCAACTAGTTTTGGTACAGAAATTTACTTCCATTCTTAAAAAGAGGAATGATTTATATTATTTTCAGTAATACCTGTTTATCAAAATATAACTTTAATATGTTGATAATAACAGAAGGGGTAGAATTATGAATACTCCATTTTGCAAGTGTCAGGTTTCTATATAGAGGTGGCTAAACACAACACATAACTTCTAAACCGTAGTAGCTTCTACATGTCCAATTGTTAATAAAATATTTTGGTACCTGTACTGTTTAATGGGCTAATGAAAGAAGAACACTTAAAAGACCCTTGTGTGGATTCTTTGCACATCTGGTCTCCTCGCAGGATCAGTGCTGTTATATGTATCTGTGGAGGACTGGAGGTGTTATGGAAGAAAATGGTTTGTACACAGCCTTTGTGTGAGTTAAGCAGCAAAAGCTTCTAAAAGCTGCTGGAACTGCAACATTTTACTTTACATGTTTGGGTCAGACGTTCTCCTCCTGCAGCCTCACTATCTACCTGCAGGTTTGTTGTGTTTGTAGTGCTCATCTAATACAGCTGTGTTTGGGTTCTGATCAAAGCAACAGCCACTTTCTGTTGCATTGGGCTTTAGAATTAAAAAAAAAAAAGGCAAAATTGAAAGTATAGACTGCTAAGCCTTTTCTTTTAATTTTCCTCTCCTTGATCTTTGTTAATAATTCTTGTGTGCAGGTTCAGCAGGTTACTTAACCAGTGGCCTTCATTACCAGAATTGATTGAATATGCAGACTTTGTAGAACTGTAGTAATTTAGCCCTTAATCAAAAGAAGTAAGCTAGAAACTCTTAAGATAAGTGCATGCATCTCAAAACCTTTCTATTTCAGGGCATGAACTTCATTGCTGGATACCTGATTCTTATTACAAAGAATGAAGAGGAGTCTTTTTGGTTACTAGATGCTCTTATTGGAAGAATATTGCCTGGTATGTTAAAAGTATAGTTTTATCCATATATTGGAGCTTGGCTTTTATCTTTGCATTCTTCTCCAGCTGTAGACAGTAACTGCATCTGGTCTGTTCAGTAGCTCTGAGTTCCCTTGCCTGGTCTCTGAGTTTGCAGGAGGTGTTTATGCAATCAATTTTGCCCCATGTATAAGCTGAACCTCACTGCACATGTGAGGTACTTTAAAACCAGAAACAGATCAGGTTTTACAGCTGTATTTTTACTCCTGTGAAATGCATTTGGGAATGTTTTTTCTTGGGATTTAATTATAGAGGGAGAATGGTTTTATCGTGAATTCCTATGAGCATTGCAGAGTCTGACTACAGATACACCTTTAATGTAGGTGGAAGGTCTCATTGGAAGATCAGTAGAAAATGGAGGACTGATTCCTTATTGGCCTAGTTTTGCTTTTGCACAGATTTTTATCTCAATTAAAAGGTGGAGGTGGAATTCAGTATGACACTGTCTACTAGGTACTGGTCAAGGTTGATTGAAACTTTCATTTTTCTTCTGTCTGCTCATGTTTAAGATTAAACAACAAAAAAAAATTATTTCCCTATTAAATAGAAAGTAAAGACCTTGAGAAATAAACAAGAACGGCTGAAAGATTCTCTTCATGCTTTTGAATGACTGTAAGAAATTACTTTACATTGAATACACCCTGTAGGAACTTGGATTTTCCTTGTGTGGAACCAGTGGTTACACTTTGTTTCCAGACTGAAAGAGTAGAGACAGGCAGGGAATGCTATGAGTTGTTCAGTCAGTCTGCAAATATTTAACATTATGCAGCCTTGAAGTTTACTTTCAAGCTGTAAAAATAGTCTAAAGAAATCAACTGCCTGTTGCTTTTGTTCAGCCTTGAGAGCTCCAAGCTGTGCAAACAGGTAGGAGACAGGGCTGCTGTCTGCCCTGGGACCTGCCCCTGCCTTGCATGGGTATTTGCCTGCTTTGACATCCCTGTCCCTGTCCCCAGGGACAAGGCACTCGGTAAAAGGCAGCTTTATTGTCAAGTGATGTGTGGAAACTCTTGCTGTTAATCCTTTCAATAGTCTTACACGCTTTTTTTGAGGCAAAGGAGGTAGAGTCAGAATTTTGTTTGTTGTTTCTGGCAGGGAACCTAATTCACTCTATCAGAAAACCTTCGTTTTTATATATCCTTCTACACTTTACTGATGCTTGTGGCAAAAGTTGTTCTTATTTTTCCCTCCTAGCTGTTGACTTTATCTTAGGCAGGTAGCATTGGTGGTGAGAAGGAACTCATAACATGAAATGCAATTACTGTGTGTAAAGTAGGTGTATATTTACTGCAGTTATAGGTGTATTTTTACTTTTCTGTAACAAGATTGTTGTTACTGACTTTAGCCTGTGTCCAACTGAGCAATATGAATCTTCTATATAGTATGAATATTTTTATTGAATAATACAAGGATTTATTGACAGAAAATTTGTTGCTGATGCTCTTTTTCCCTGCCTCAGAATTAAAAATATATTTTTATCACTTCTATTCCCACCACTCTCCAATATAGTTTCAGTTGTATATTTAGGAAAGTCAAAGCATGACAGATAAAATAATTGGGATAATTTCAATGAAATACTGTGTGTGCATATGTGAGAGAAAGAATCAGGCAGACCATATTCATAAAGCAACTCACTCAGGTCAATAATTACTGCCTTCCTGTTAATAGATCAAGGTATTGCACATTTCAGTTTTAAGCCCTATTGTTATTTGCTGGGGAAGCAGAGAAGCACCTCTCAAGATCTGGTAGATCTTGAATGTTTTCCAGGTTTTCAGAGGGAAGTCTAGGAATCAGTTTTGTTGGATCCTATCAGTTGGATTAGCCAACATTTTCCCATTCATTTGGTTGCTGATTTGATTTTCCTGATTTGTTTGGACTATAATATACATGTTTTCCCCCTATCATTGCACCAAATATGCCTCCAGGTCATGTCCTCATTTCTGAGTGTGTCCTGTCGGTTCCAGTTAAATCAGTGGTGCTTCAGGACAATTTGGAAATCCATTCTGTGCCCTCTGCCGTGTCCCTGTGGGTGCTTCCTCCCCTGCCCACGCACATTTAATTACAATGAACAGCCACTCCAGAACCGTGGTGCTGACAGTGGTTTTCTTGGTCAGCAGATGAGCTAAGCCAGCCACAGATCAATGGCATTGATTGGTAAATGTACAGTGTGACAGATGGGAACATTCTGGGCAAGAGACAGAAAATGGGACTCCATCAGTAAAGGTTTTCTGGCTGAATTGTTCTGTCACATCCAAATGAAAATAACACAGCTGGGAGAGAGAGACAGTAAATTAGGCTTTGGTTGATTGATAAGAGGAGTTGTGTGGATGCCTTTCATTTGGCTGAACTTTCATTTATCCAGCACTACTGGATACAGCTGGGTGAGGCCAGAAAGTTCCTGTTTCTGCTGAAGGCAAGCCCATGCATTTCTGCCTGTTGTCTGTCAGCAGCTCAGCCAGGGATTTGGAGGGATTATCATTTAAACGCTGCAAGGGGGAAGAGAATTATTTGTTTACCTGAAGTTTTGGTGTTACCAAGTTGTTTTTATTCCCAGGCTCATTCAGACAGATGGCTGGAGCAGACAGCATTGCCCACAAGAAGCAGTATAGATTCAATTCTAGCTCAGAATGGATATGCCTGCAATTTGTACACAGCATAGCTCTGATGTTTCTGTTCTGTTCATCACTCTGATCCTCGTTGAGAAGTTCTGGGGATTTTTCTGTGCTGTTAAGGAAAGAGTGGGGAGATCGATTTAGAAAGCATTGGGTAGGTAGGACCTTTTAACTGTGGTTCCTCAGTATGTAAGTAAAGGAGTATACTTGTCATATTTTACATATTTGTGGTTAAATGGTGAGCTTATGAGAAGAAAAACTCAACAACTTGGTCTCATTTTAGCATGACAGTTGTGCTTACATATACAAGAATAATCCTCCCTTCCACCTTCACTGGTTTTCTGGAAGCAATTGTGTATATCAGTGTATACTCTAACAAATCTACTGGACTATTAGAAGGAGTTACTCTTACTGAAAAGTAGCTGTAGAGTATTTCTGCTGTGTTTAACAGAGGTCTCATGAGTTCTGCACTACCCCATTCATGGCCAACTTGATATCCTTTTATTCTAGTGTCAATGCCGACTTTTGGGGATGAGAAAAGTCCCCCTCTCTTTTGTGCCTACTTTTTATGTATTTGTAGGATGCAGTCAAGTAATACTGGAGGTTTTTTGTATGGCTATGGCCCTTCAGTCAAACTCCTCTCTTGTGTGAAACTTTTCTTTGTTCCTGTTTTAGCCTAATAATTATTCTGTGTGCTTGTTCCAGTTTGATTTTTTTCAGTTTTTATTTTTGTAAACCTGATCACAACAGCACACTTTTATTTTCTGGTGGAGAATCAGCTAGTGCCTTGTGCAGTGGCTCTTTTCACAGTGGAAAATGTTTTCCTTAAGAGAGAAAAGCTGTAGGATTTCCCCTGCCTTTTTTCCCAAGTGGCACTCTGGTTTTGATTTGTGATCTCCATCATAATGCATGTGCTGTTCCTTCTCTCTTACTGTCAACAGAAGTTTTTCCCACAGCATTTAGGAATTCATAACACCTTTTTGCTGAAGTTTATTATTTGCACGTTCTTGTTGTTTTCAATGTCATCACATCTCTTACTCCAGTCTTTCCACCGTTACTTGGTTGTGCTTTGTTTATTGACATGGGTTTAGTGTTGCCAATAAATACCAGCTTTTTATTTTTCTCTTAATGTTCTTAATAAAAATCTTAAATGAGGTGTAGCATTCTTCAAGAATCAGTCTCATTACTTTTTAGCAGCAATAACAATCTTCCTTCAGTCTCATTACTTTTTAGCGGCCTCTACTGAAATGTTTTTACCCATGTGTACTGCCTGGTTGTTTAAAAAACATGAAAAGAGCAGAGTTTTGAATGATGAAATGGTCACTAAAGCAGTAGGCTGCGGTGAAGTAGCTGGCATTAGCTGTGAGTGCACAGGGTGCAAAGCAGGGTGCCAGTGGTGTGCAGTGCAGTGCCTGCTGGCTAAGGCAGGTGGCTGCACGCTGAGAGAGCAGATATCTCCCATCTTTGTGCAGCTCTCTGGCTCACAGCTATATCAGCCAGAGACTCCCAGCCTGCACAAGAGATTAAGCAGGGTAAGAGACAAGAATATGTGAACTGAATGGCATCATAGCTATGTATCAAACTCTTGAATATCCTTCTCTTTTGAGTGATTCATGTTATAACAATCTTTTGAGTCCCATCATACAGACTTCCAGGTTCGAAGGGAAGGACCACTTGGGAAATGCAGAAGGCTGTACTAAGCTGTAAAGTATTTCTGTTTAGACTGTTTGCTTTTAATTGCAGTTGAGCCTGTATTTATTTTGTTCTTGTGGCTGAATTTATTTAAATAGCCTAATTGGGTATTGCCAGGGAACCTCTGAATGCAGAACTGGCTTGACAGCTGCATCTTTTCAGATCTGCATCTCCAAAGGGAGTGGACCTCTTCACAGGAAGTGTTTTTATTTAGCTGTGCAGGTAGAAAACACTGCTAGACCTAAACTGAGCTGAATTTGCAGCCTAAGATGGGGAGTGTTGTGATGAAAAGCATTTCCTTTCAGAGAGATTTGAGCACCTCAAGCATGTGCTTTTGGTGTGGAAAGCTCCTTTTATGGCTATGTGTGACATGCATGACACCATGTTTGCAAAGTTGTTGTTGACAACTGAGCTTTATTTTTATAGTACCATCAACCCAGAAAATTTCAGCAGATTGATCAGTTCTGGGCTGCTTCTTTATCTTCCTCTGGCAGCTCTCAGCTACAGGTGTGTGAGTTGGCAGGATTCTCACTCAGCCATGGAGTTCCTCTGTGATTGCATTTGAAGCATAGTGGTGTGCCCCTTGGCCTCCAACATCACATCTGGCACTCAGAGACAGGAGCATTCTGCTGGTCAGCTGAACAATTAAGAGCTTTGAAATATGGGACTGCATCATGTTCTGCTGTTTACCCCCAGCCACAATGAAAGCACTAATGCTTGAGCATTGGAGGTCAGTTGAATATACCTAGGAATTAAGCATGCACTGTCCTGTTAAGCTGAAGGTGGAATAAAGGAGTCATGTGCCTGTATTTAGAAACCATGATAAGCCTGAAATCCTTATTACTTACAAATCTGAACTGCTAGGGGATTTGTGAGACTTGAGCAAGCAGGAAATAAGCAACTGATGAGGTTTTTTTCTTTAAAATTACACAGGTAATAACATTTGAAATAATTTATTTACTTTCTGTGTCATATCTTCCACCAAGTCTCAAACCTCATCAATAAATGAACAATCTCATTATTTAGGTGTGTTTTAGGTGGCAGGGTAGAACTCTTACACTTATGTGTGAAACAGAAGTTTGCTGTACACGACAATACCCATACTGTCAGCCTTACTTTTGTGAGGAAGCATGCAGCAAAAGCACCCTAGTGTTTAAAAACACTGAAGAATATTGTGTTCCTTGACGTGTGTCTATACACTACTGTATTTACACTGGAAGCAGGACCTGTTCCACCAAGGTAAAGTCAAGAATGCCTCCTTCATTCTGATAAAAAGCCTTCATTGATATAATTTGATTATGTTCAACTTAAGTTATCTTCAGTAGGCCATCCATGCACTACTGTATGTGGGACTGCAGCCTTTGGCTGTCTGTGCAGATGTGTTATTTCCTTGTTTATCTACCCAGTAAATCAAAGTGTCATCCCTTTCAAAAGCCATCTGCAGAATAACTTGTCAGATGAAATCTTAGTTCAGCTAGGATTGATCAAAGGTAGAATTCCCAGGCTGCATGCGAAGGAGGAAGTTAGGTAGAGTAGCATAAACACAGAAATGTGGGTTTGGGAGAAGAGGTCCTGGGTTTTTTGTGATGTGGAAGAACCTATTAGTGGCCAAGCCTTAGTATGCAGCACAAGGCTTACTTATTTTGTGCTTTATATTTTATTAGAGTAGCCATGTTGGAGGGCTGTTGGATTTTTTTAAATTTTGTTTTTATCTAATGGCTTGAGTTGTGAAAGCAGTCCTGTGCATGGGGTATTGAAATGATACTTTTGACAGAGCCATCTCCATGCTGAAGGGACTGTGCTGTTCTACCTGCAGAGTTAACGCAGCACAGCCACAGCAGCTTTTTTTGGGTTTTGTTTTTTTGGGTTTTGTTACTTTCTGATGGTCAGCCAGGGCTCTATATGTTCAGTTACAGTTTTAATAAATGAACCTTCCTGTATATGTCACTTTGACAGTAAGAAGCATAACATACCAGCTGACAAATGTATGATGGGTTATACGTGCTCAAAGCAGAACCCAGTACACAGTTTTGTATTGTAACTTGTAAATCCCCATAAAATGTATTAATATGCTTGAAGTTATCTGTGTATTAAATACCAGAACTCATAAAACTGGAAATGTAACTGTAAATCTAACTTTCCATACAAAAAACAGGTGAGGAAATAGTATTTCTTCCCATTGTGGCCTTTCAGTACTTAAAGAGAGCTTCAAAAAAAGGTGGAGAACAACTTCTTACAGGAGCAGATCATGATAGGACAAGGGGGAATGGTTTTAAATTAAAATAGGGGATGCTTAGATTAGATGTCAGGAGGAAATTTTTGACTCAGAGGATAGTAAGGCAGTGGAACAGGCTGCCCAGAGAAATTGTGGGTGCCCGTCCTTGGAAGTGTTTAGGGCCAGGTCAGGATATCTGAGAGGTCCCAGACTTGATTTGAAAGAGTGACCCTGCCACCACTGCTAGTAATGTATTCAAACTGTAAATCAGTCTCATTAAAAACACTTGCTATATTTTTAAATTGGAATTTGAGTTGTCCTAATTTGCAGGCATTGCTTTTTTTGAAGTCTTTCTCCTATTTTATTGAAAAGCCCACAATGCCTAGTGTGCTTTCTCTATGACTTTGTTGACTTTACTTTTCATTTTTCTTGCATAAATGCTACAAATAAAGAGGTTCCTTACAGAACTCAGTTTTTCTAAATATGACCTTTTCTTTAATGTCTTTTCCAGTTCTTCAACTGCCTGAATTGTAAATATCAGAGCTGGGTGGAGTTTTCTAACCTCAGTTTTGCTAATGTCATAATCAGAGATGATATAGTCTCTCTTCAGTAGTGAATATATCCAGGGATTGCTTTGGCTTTTTTGAGCTATGATGTGCTTACTCTGGATTTTATTGTATTTGCAACTTAAGATAGTGCAAAACAGTTTTTCCAAAAGTTCAACTCTATGAAGTGTTTGGTTTTTTTAAAATGTGTCATGATAGAAAGAAGCACTGACAGCAGGCTTTGATACCGTTTCAAAATATTGTATAATGCACATGCAGCACAGGTAGGAACATAAAGAATGTGTTGGTGTAAGATGTGCGCTGGGAGTTAAGGAAATTTAAATGAAGATGTAGTAACTTTTGTCTACCTCATTGTACCAGATGTGAGGGTTTAGTTTGAGAGATGCTTAGAAAATGCAACCTTTGTTGCACTAGAGCTATATCTGCTGGTCTAGCTCTCAGTTTTAAGTGCTTCTGTCCCAGTCTCACGTCGTCTGCTCAGTGGCCCCCATGGTGTGACTGTAGCATTCTTGTGAAGAGCTGATGAAAGTAAGAATGGGGTTCTTCTTAAGCATGAGAGAATATCACTACTGTGTTTTGTGCTGAGGTGTTAAGAATAACTTGTCAGTGTGGTCAACTGATAAAATACCTATTTTTCCTAATCCCAAGGAGGAGTTAAAAACACAGATCCAGGAATCCTTATTCAGCTGAATTCATCAGTCATTAAGACTCATTATACAGTTGTAAGCTTTTTTTTTTAAAGTTTGTTTCCTCAACAGGCATGATAAGCATTTGTGGTTTTCAATGCTTGTTCTTGCATTTCCTCTCTGTTTGAGGACATTGGTGATAAAAGTCTGTCAAAGGGTTTTCCAAGTTAAGGCCTTGGCTCCTGGGTCAGCCCCATAAGCTGCAGACTTCTCCAAAGCATGCAGCTCTTTAGGCAGGCACAATTCATGGGGTGCAGTGACTGGAGTCAGGCCAGGCTATTTGGAAACAGCCAGTGGGGAATATTTTGTGTGTGGTGTGTCTGTCAGCTCAGTGATACTGTGAAAAACTGCTATCCACAAACGTAGCCATTCCAATGGTAGCAGATATGGAGAGGGAGGAGAGGAGAGCTGGCCAACAGTATTTTGCTCAGTCATATCTAAGCTATATGGGAATGGTTTGGTATCTATAACTTTAAGCTAGACTAGTTTTAAATTATGCAAATGTCTCTACTGAGCAACACATAATAGAACTGGTGCGTAAATAAATAATTAAAATAGCCAGTTTCATTCTCTGTAACTAGAATGTCTGAAAGTTGCATTTGTGTTTTCCAAACACATGCTGCTAACTTCAGTGTGTTTGTCTGAGGAGTTAGACATTAAGTCTTTGTTTATTTGTATTTCGTCTCTGTCTTCTGTAATGTCTGGAAGGTTGACATCTTTGCCTGCCTTTCCATTGTGTTTCTAATCAACCAGCATCCTTGTTCAGTTTCCAAATGGCAGGTAGCTACTACATCTGCTCAGAATCCCACTGTACTCTGTGAAATGCAGATGGGAAACCAAAGGCTCTTTCAGCTCCCTGGGATCTGTTTTCCAAGTTTGGGAGTAGAAGCAAAAGATGAATACCGGCAGGTGGCATTATGTAGAAACAAATACTGCCTTTTTGTGCTGCTGGAAAGGTGTTAATAGTAAGTAATTTCTCAAGATATATCACTCTATATTCTGTGTAATCTCAATATCAACCAATAAGGATCTATAAAATGCTTGCATTCTCATTTTTTTAAGATAGTTCAGCCATCCAAAATAAATTTGATTTCCTTGTATTTATTTATGCCAATGTTCAGTTTGAATGATACAGCTAATGCTGGTGGTTTTGTGAGTTCACTACCCCAGGACAGAAGTTCAGTCAGTTTAGTTTGAAGGAAGAGATAAAATATAACTTGAGTCTGTTGCTTGGTTTGTTAGAGGTCTTTTTTTTTTCTGTTCCCTGGAAAATGAGGAACTTGTGCGTTAAAAATGGCATAGTTAAGAGGTTGTAGCTTGCCATTTAACCACCTATCTGCAGGATATCACTCTGGCCAGGACACCTGCAGGGGTCACTCTGGCCTGATCCTGCAAAAGAATTGGCAGTACTCTTGGGTTTCCTCCTTTTCCTGTTGTGGCTTGATTTCTTCCCAAATGTAGGTTGTTCAGCTTTTAATGTAAGGCTCCTGATGTAGATACTTAGAAGGCACAAAAGCTGATATGTTTTAAATGTTTATATTTTCCCCCTTGACTTGAAACGTAGGAAATGTAGAATGGAGTGCTTTTCATGAAATTCTGTTTGTGGAAACCTCTGAGTTTTTGTGCCAACCCTTAGGCCTGCTCTATTTCCCTCCTGGATTTCAGTGAGGTGTGGTAGCAAATGGTATCTCCAGCAAGGAGACATTCTTGAATGGTGCTCGGTGGTATAAAAATGAACTATTTCTGCTACTATGGGAGAAGAGAGAACATTGTCATCCTCTCACACACACACACCCATCCCAGTTCTCATGGACATTTATAAACATATTCTTGTGAATAAAATACTTTACATTGTGTGGACTGTGAGAAAAGTTAAATCAGCCAATTTTTAACTTTCCAGTTGGTTTGGATCTCCGAGACAAATCATTCTGTTCCAGGCTGGGCTCTATAGGCTCTTGAAATAATAGAAATGCTGGAAGATAAGCAGCAGAGCTGAGGTCTTGTTTTGGGTATTTTTGTAGCACTTACAGATTTAGTTCCATAGGAATATGTATATTTAACCTGACATAAACACAACAGACCGGAAGGATTTTTTTTTTTTTAACTTGTGTAGCTCTTGACTCCTAGAGATAATTTAAGACTATAAGAGTATTGCTTCTTAAACTTTTATTTTTGGAACCTCTTAATCTATTTGTAACAGAGAACAAGGTCATAGAGTCCCTACAAGCTTTATCCTTATTTCCTGCAAATCTTATTACTGTTCTGGAGCACAAGCAGCCAGTTATGTCTTAGTCCTGGACATGCTGGTAAGGTCCAGAGGTGCTGCCTATTGTGACAGGGAGAAAATGAAATGTACTGTTAGGAGTGTCTCTGCCAGGACAGGTTTCCAGCTCAGTGACTGCATGCCACAGGCAGTGCAGTGTTAGCAACAGAAAGCCCTTTGAACAAGGGAAAGGTCCCTTCATGTGGTCACCTGTGCTGTACAGTAGCAATAAAGCAGCTGGCAAAGCTGGCTTTTCCTGTTTGCTGCTTGACTCCAAGAAGCAGCAGCTGATGATCCCAGCAGAGCCACAGGGCTACAGTGCTGTTCAGAGTCAGAATTTTGATGAGGAAGGAGCACTTGGCAGAATGAATTCCATGTGGGATCCTGCCCACGTTGCCCTCTGTTACACTCTCAGCCATTCCTAAACTTAGCAAGGCATCCAAAATCCATAGGCAGGTACCCAGAACAGACTGGGCAAAGCACACGGGTAAGCAACAAAGGGAAGGCTGAGAGGAAAGTACAGAAAGCCTTGGATCAGGTTACAGAAGCACTTGAAAATGCCAAATTGCCAACTGAGAAACGTGATGTTCATGTAGGTATTTTTCTGGAATTTAGTAATAAATTAATAATACAATAATAATTTATAATGCAATATTTCATTTCTCGCCTTCCAGAAAATGTGATGAAAAATAATGTAGTTTGTGATCACCTAAAAATTATCACTTCTGTTTGACCATTTGAGGGAAAATAGGAAACAGCCTGGCTATGTATGTTTTTTCAGGGGAATGGTATTTTGTCAGAGGACATTCCTATAAACCACCTAGATCAACAGATATCAACAATATAATTAGCCTATTTTTTTAATTAGCAAGTGGAAGATTGAGAGCAGTTACTGACTCAGGTTTGTTCTGGGTCATCAACTGCTCAGTATTTTGCCAGGTTATTGAGAGGGGAAAAAATAATTAAGATGCTAATTTAATGTGGATCATGCAAATCTAAAATTTCCAAACAGTTTGTAAGATATGTAAGGAATATAAAGCTAATGTGTTTCCATGGTAGATGAGTAAAAATAATTGCCTGCACTGTACTTTCTGAAAACCAGCTTTATGGTGTGGGGGAGAGATAGGCTTGTGTAGACTTGGTTATAAACAAGGATATTTTGACTTCTGGGCAGAGCAGCCAATTATAAGATATAAGGAAAGTAGGGCACACAGAGAAGCATTTGCAGCAAGGGAGCGCTGCAGGATTTTTGCTGAGGGGACATTTTCACAAGGCTGAATGAATGGGAATCCCCAGTAAATAAGAAGGGAACAGAAGAGCCATGTAGGTTAAATGTTACCAAGCACTCAGGCACTGAACCAAGTTACAAAATCATTTTCCCTAGTGAAACCAGATGTGGACTGTGAAAGGTGTTCCTTGTAAGTGATCTGTGGGTAAGTTTTGCACAAATATAAGGTCCTCCAGGAATGTTTCTGAAGGATTTCCAAAACGTGGCTTTCCTAATTTGAGGTGCTAATCTTATATATATACATTTATGTATAAAAGTATATGTACAGGAAAAATAAATAGAAAATTGTAATTACATATTAATTATGTGTAATAATTATAATTAATACCTGCATGAACTATAATTGACATACAGCAATTACATGTAAATGTGTCTTGAGTGCAGATTCTTTTAACCTAACTTCTGTTGTGAACTGGCAGCTAATATCCTGAAAACCCCTGCTGCTCAGTTATTGGCATTTGCATAAATCGTTAATCACTCCTCCCACTGGTTCTGCAGCAGGGCTGGGCTCAACATTGCCGTGCTGTGTCCCAGGGCACATGGGAGCTGCTCCTGCTCCACGAGGAACAGCAGGGGGCTGCCCCAGATAGATGAATAGCTCCTTTTTTCTTCCTCTCCAGCAGTACAGTCTAACAGACTTGAATGAAAGTTTAATTTACACCAAAGCTTCCGGGCTGCTTCAGTAATTTGTGAAGTATCCACATCATCTGTCTGTTAACTTTTTGCTTCCCAGCTCTCAGAGCTGGATGTGTGTCCAGTTGTGTTCCTGAGAGCGTGACATTTACTTTGCTGTACAGATTAAAAATAGCAGCTGCTGTTGCTTTCAGCATATCAGATGATGGCAGCAGAGCGAGTGGGCTGCTGGCCTTCCTCCTGAGGACATTTGCCAGTGGTAACTTGCAGATTTCAGTATCACACGTTTCAGGAGCACAGATAGAGGAAAAAATGGTTTGTGGATGTATGAGAGGAGGAAGGATAGGAAGGGGAAAGGGCTTGTTCTGCTACTTGTTATTTGAGATGTGATTAGATTTCACTTGCATGAAAGCAGCAAGTGAAAAAATAAAAAAATTAAAAATAAAAAAGCGTTAAAAAAAATATGTACTCAGCCAGTTAATGTTACTGTTACTGCATAACAGTTCAAAATGAGCACAGCACTAATACAACATATGCAGAAAGAGAGGATTTTGTGTTGGTGCTGTGGTCATGGTGTGTTTTCAGTACACTTTTCCATGGGATTTTCTGTGTTTAAGCTGTTGGAGCTTTCCCTGCAAGCAACTGAAAGGTAGATTGTTAAATAATTTTTTGAGTGGCAGTGACTGTTAGGTCTGTAGAGGAGTTTTACATCTCAGTCTTCAGGGAGAACTCAGACAGAAAGCTAGGCTCCTAAAGATTGAATGTGATGCTCTGTAGTACCATTAAAAACTCCTGTAGATGTTCCAGTTTGGACAGAACAAATGTAGAGCAAATAACTCATGGGGTGGGAGGTCTGTTCAGGTAAACCATTGGCACAGGAAAGAGTAGAATATTAAACAGCTCTTGTGAAATTACAGAAAGTTAAGTGGTTATAGATGTACTGCATAGTTTGGATGTATTTTTAAACTTACCTGTGGCACTGGGAGGTTTTGTTAGAGTTATTTCAGTCAAATAGACTTTGCTCTGATTCCTTCAACCTTTATATGAACAATTGGCCTGTGCTGTGTGTCTGGGGCCATTGGTAGAATCCAGTTAAGACAGAGAAACCTGAATTGCAGCTTTCCAGAATCAGTGAAGGAAGGGAAGGCATAGAAAAGCACTTGTGTTACCACTGGTTTCTTTCCATAAACAAAGGCTAACACAACATAGGTCTTGTCAGCAAAGTGCTCATGAACTATCAAAAGTTGCTTCCCAGGACTGGAGCAGCCAAATCCAGATCAAATGTTTCTGTCAACATATAAACCCAAAATATGAATTTCTTAAACATCTGTGTAATTCTTGTGTCATACTGGGGCATTTGAATACTTATGAATTGCAACATCTTTTTCTTTCCTTAAATGTACCCAAAGCTACTCATTTATAGAGCTGAGGTGCTTGTTATTATGCCTGCACCGTGGTAATGAAATCGCTTACTCTGACAGGCTGTGGACTGACAGCCAGAGTGCTCTGTTGTTCTTAATTGTGGATTTACCAGTTACTGCAGTGACCCCAAGTGCAGGAATGTAGGTCTTATTTCAGTCCCTGTCTTGCGGGTAAATTAAGTAGGAAGAGATGTTGCCTGAGCAATCTGTAAACTTCTTCTCAGAATTATTCAATCAAAAGTGGGATTTTCTTGGTTCAGAGAAAGGAGAGGAAAACTCCTACCTTAATGGCTAGGTCACTCCTAGGAAGATGGGGAGTATCCAGCATCTCTGCACAGCTGATGCTCTGGGGAGTTTGCATTTCTAGTTTGACTGGACCTGGTCTAAAGGCTACAGGTTATTGTGGTGGTTTGGGTTTTCTGTTACCTCCCTGGGTGTCATGTGGACTGGGAGTTGTGCAGCCCCCCACACAGGAAGGAGGTGGTGGTAATACTGAACTATTTAAACTTTTGTAGTTTAAGCTAGCAGTCAAAAACCACCTAAACAATCCTTCCTTGGGAAGGAAGAATGCATTGCCAAAAAACATCAGAGAGAAAGAAGATACTTCAGTAGGCATGAATGAATGAAGTGTTTGTGTGGAGGGATGAGCCTGGCTGAAAAAGCAGCACTCTGTGACCACAGTGCAGAGATCTTTGGGCTGGGGGTTAATTTACTTCACCTTGGGATTCCTAGGCTCAGAGTGCCTTTAGATGTCCAGCTGCAGAGGACATTCTCTTCAATTTCATGAAAAGATTATGTGCACAGATTCCTGAGTTTTGATTTCTTCTCTCCAAGATTATTACAGTCCTGCAATGTTGGGCCTGAAAACTGATCAAGAAGTCCTTGGAGAACTTGTGAAAATGAAAGTTCCGGCTGTGGCAGAGCTGATGGAAAGACACGGAGTCATGTGGACCCTAGTGGTGTCACGCTGGTTTATATGCCTGTTCATTGACATCCTTCCAGTGGAGGTAACTGGTAACATGAGGTTCTCTTACTACACCCCTGATTATTTCATTTGTACTGCTTTAGTAATTGCTTACTGGAAATCAAGGTTAATCTGAATTCTCTCCTTTACTGCAGACTGTGCTCCGAATATGGGATTGTTTATTCTATGAAGGGTCAAAGATCATCTTCCGTGTGGCCTTAACATTGATTAAGCAAAACCAAGCTTTTATTTTGGAAGCCACGAATTTCCCTGACATTTGTGATAAATTTAAGCAGATCACCAAAGGAACATTTGTAACAGAGTGTCACAGCTTCATGCAGGTAAATTCTCTTCAGCTTTTAGTCATTCCAAATTAAAACCAAGACTGACTTAGAAATGTTTTTCACTGAGCAAAAGATGGATACAGTTAGGAGAAACCCAGCTGTTAGGATTGTTTTTTAAATAAGAAACTAAAACCTTTCTAATAAATATATTAAATAATTTGTATTTAATAATTATTATCAATTAAATATTATATTTAATAGTTATTACCTAATTCCATATATAGAAATCCATCCACATTATCTGTCGTACAGGGGAAAAAATTCTTTTTGCCCTTTATACCAGTTAAGGCAGGAAGTCTGATGAGAAGATAATTTTAGTGCATTTTTCCAGTGAACTGTGGATATTGATCCCGTGCGTTCACTTTCAGATGAACTGTAAATACAGTGGAATAAGCACAAAGTGAATTTTAAATTTGCACTGATAATTGGCTGTAGTGCCTGAACACACAGAATTCTGTTTAGAACAAGATGGTGCTGGCAGGTTCTTATTCCAGACAGAAACTCATGAAGTTCAATGTCCAAATGCTATGACAGTCTGCAAGCTAAGAAATTGCAGTGAGCAATTTCTTTTAAATTATTAATACAATGGCTGCCACATCAGATAAAACATTAGATTCAGGGCTTATCTCAGAAGATGGAAACATAAAAGGTGGTAGCTGCAGAACAAGTAACAGGAGCACATCTGTCATAGATCACTTGGTCAACTCCACTATCATTGTTTGCTCAGTGTGCACAAACCCACATCCTGGAGGGTCACACTTACCCCTCAAAGTGTTTCATGCTCACGACACATCTCTGTGCCTAGGTCAGTCACAGCAGGCTGTCACTTATACTTTCATTATTGTTCATATAGAAGAAAAATTAGCTTAACTTAGTGACACTTTTAAGTATTTTAATTAAAGGGGCAAGAGAAAAGTCACAGGTACAGCTTTAATTTAGAAAGAAGATGTATGAGGGTTTTTTCCATTCCATAAACAGTTTAGGATAAGAATTTTATTAAATGTTAATTG